TTGCACTAGGGACCATTTACCGGAGTTGTCACCCCCTGGTTATCCCCCTAACTCTCACGGTGCCCATAAAAAACCCAGCACCTCAAGTCCTCCCTCCTCTCCTCTGGCTGGAAGGGGCCAGCAGATCCAAAGGCTGCTGCAGAGAGGGAGGGAAAGGGGCGATGTACGCACACACACTTGCACACGAACACCCACTTTATTCCTTCACAAAACCAGATTAAAAAGCAATGGATTCTTAGAAGATGTAACTAAGTCTGAGCTATTAGCTGGCACTGCCTCCACCTGCAGAAGAAACCTCATTTAGAGGATGTAAATAGTTTTTAATCTCAGAGCCCAGAAAACAGTTCATCTCAGCAAAACGACAAGTACTTTGTCCCTAAATTCTCTCTAGCATCTTTCTCTCCACAGCTTTGCAAACTCTTTTTTCATTGTGCAGCACAAGGAATACATCACACAAATATGCATGAGCATGACTTCTTTATCCCAAGACACTTGCAAACATAACAGAAAACAGGCCAAAGGAGCATATATTGTACTCCATCAAGCTGAGCACTTATATAGCCTCCATCACTGTGCCACCCATCCAAACACTTTGTTAGTCCCAGGATTTGTGTGTCCTTATTGTTTTATGAAATTTCATTTTTGTTAGCCCCATGACTTCTGTGCAAATTTTTATTATATTATGAAATTTCATTTCCTGTCATCTGCTGGGATTATATTTTGATGGGAAGACTTGGGTTTACAAGTCTGACCCCAAAAGGGTGTCAGGGACTCCATTCCCCAGTGGGCAGTCAGGAGATTGGGACACAGAGCCCCACATCTAAGTAGGTGACAACTGAGCAGAGGATGCAGCACTTCTTGCTTCCAGGCTGTCCATTCTAACTCTAAAATTCACTCCCCTCAGAGAGAGACATAAACTGAAAGGCCCCAGCTCCCAAATCCTTCTTCTGCCAGATCATGTTCCCCTTTCTGCACTAATAGCTAATAGGTTTCAAAAGCATCTCAGTTCTCCTCTGGCTGGAGGAGCCCCTAGCAAATGGTTACCGCGCATATCTGAGACTTGGATTTTTCTTAGTTTTTGTATTCCCTTTTCAGGGCTATTTCCCCTCCACTGCCTCTGTATTGTCCATGCAACACTCCATTTCACAGAGGTGCTTTGTTTGCCCTTGTCCTTCTACCTCCAGCACCCCAGGTCCGCTGATCCCGCAGCCCCAACAGCTGCCCATAGCCGCTTCAGCCACCTCTGTTATCCCCCAGCCACATGAGCCAAAGTCAAAAGAAAGCCAGAAAGGGGATCTGACATCTGTGATCCCATGTTAATGAATGCCCTCTCTGGAGGAAGCAAGGGAAGGCAATGAGGATGGCACACTGCCAGCCTCCACAAGCTTAGCCCAATGACGCCAGTGAGCCGGGAACACGGCACGTTAGAGGCCGCTCAACAAGGAGCTTTTGTTGATGCCTCTGCTGCGGCCCGTCCATTGTGCGCTCGGCAGGGCAGGCATTTCACAGCTTTGCTGTTGGCTGTATCAGTAGCCGGGTCGTAACCAGGCTGGCAGCTCTGGCAGGGCTCCCGTGCGAGTGTCCGAGGAGCTGCCACCAGGCGGGGGGACCGCGTGGGCCCACACTGTGCAGACCTGCTCCAGCACACGCGCCTCCAAAAGCCCCTGGACACCAGGAGCGCCTTTGCAGTGGGGGTATTGCCCCCTTTGCACCCATTATCCCACTTGTACAGACTGACCAACAACCCAGACTGCCTCAGGGGCCCCTTCCAGACCAACCCAATTTCCAGCCTTCCCAACCCAAGTGCACCCTTCTTTCTCTAGAAGATAAACTTCCCGATTAACTACTGGGGGATACAGGAGGAAAGAGCGAAGTGCTTTGCTTTGGATAACACATGTAACATGAGCACACAATGTTCTGTGTCTGTGACAAAAACAACAGGAAAAAACCTGCTCTTATAGTCCTGCCAAGCTGAGATTTCAACAACAAGCAGCAATGTATCAGCTGGCTATGAACAGTTCCTGATTCAGGGAATGGGGCACTTTCCCAAAAAGACTCAGGGTTTGGACCTTTTTCTTAGTAAACAATAACATGTTGAGTGCCATACAGGATGGCTCTTGCCCAAGAATTAAATGATAGCGGGTGACCCAGAGGAAAGCACAAGCTCAAAGGAGATGTGGGGCTGGTTGCCAGTTATGTTGCATCTAGTATATAGGAACAGAACAAAGCAGAACTTCTATATGAACCCGAGGGGAGGAAATCAGAATCGCTAAGTAAAATGACTTGATGATTTGGACAAGGGCATCATTTCATGAGCTGGGAGAGGAAAAAGAACAACAGACCATTAGCAAAGTGAAATGGGAGACACAAAGGGAAAGA